GGTGATGAGAACATAAGGAAAAGAAGAAACTTAGAACTGCTGGACTCAACCACAAAAAAATCACATGCCACAAAAAACTTTGATCTAAAATTATTTTGAGGTGGTGATGAAAACATAAAGAAAAGAGGAAACATAGAAGTTATGTCGAAAACATATAACAACTTATTCACTACCTTTCATGCTTTTGTCATTTTGTGATGTTGGGAACATGATCAATTCAAGCAAATATGTTAAAATCCAGAAGTTCAAGTACTATTGAATAGCTGTCCAGCACTGATTTTCCAACATCCTGCAAAGTAAATATCAATAAAATTATTATAATTAGTACTTATTACAATCAAACTCAATGATTTTTCTTTCGTCAGTTTGTTACCTTATTTTATTGAATGTTGCATATATCTAACGATGTATGAGATGAATTCTGAGTAACGTTGTTTCTGTGTTCTGAGCAAATTGACCTGAGCCACTCATGTAGCTGTAACTTGAGTCACCACCAACAATGCTTTTACAACACTGCATAGATTAAAAATATTTTAACAGTTAAGAACATGAATCACAGATAAGAATCTCCAAAATATGTGTTAGATTGGCGACTTTACATGTTATTAGGATGATGATTCACAAAAAGCATGTCAACCCACATCAATTCACCACCACGTCTGGGATTACTCGCCTCTCAGAACAGAACCGGAGCAGGTAAATCTCGACGGTGGAAAAGGACCGGCTGAACTTCAACTCGGATAAGAAAACTCTAAAGGAAGCCATTCGAAACAAAATAAGTATGGTGAGAGAGGTTTGTGAATGATTATCAGAGGAGGGAAACGGACCTATATATACATGTGCCTCCACCGACTCGTAGAGGATGAGAAAATAGTGATTAGAGATCGTGGTGGAGGAGTTATTGCGATGATTAATGCGTCTAAGACGGTTTATGGTGGAAGGCTCGCCTCTACGAAACTGGATCGTCACACGGAAAGCACTCACAGAAGACTCCATGACGGCTAGCATCGAGTTACAGGGAGAACCCTAATTTCGTTGATGAAGGAGACGCTAGACAACATATCACTCTTGACGGGTCTGGATGAAAAATGATGGTGGGCCAGAAAAGGCAATAAACCCATAACTTGTGAACAATAGAATGCATCGTTTTGCCGTGTACACGTGGCATAATAAGAAGAAATGATTTTATGACGTGGATGAGCAAGAGTGAATCAACTCTTCTTTATATAAATAGATTAGCTGGCATTTCATACATATTTATTTAAATATTCCCCCCCCCCCTTAAATTACAGATAGTGAGGTTAGCAATTTTGTCTTAACAAAGATTAATGAGATTAATACTGCATTGTTTTAATGAACTAAAATTAAAAATAATTGATATTTATTATAATAGTGTGATTAGGTGTTTCTGTTCTTCCAAATGTTATCAAGTGAATCAATAAAAGAGGAGTTTGTCGATAGATAGATCTCTAGGATTACTTTCATCAGATACTAGATACTGTGAAAGATTTTTCATATTTTATCATGTCCACATCATTCAATAATATATAGTGAATATTACATTTCAACTACTATCACTAAGTATATGATTTGAACATAAAGGGAAAACGACATATTTCCACACCATAACTATCGTATAGTAACAGATCCATATGAACTTTGAACATCGTCGCAATTGCACACAACTAAACTATATCAACCCATTTCTCCCCAAAATGAAAGATCGAAACTCGCTTCCACACATATGAAGATTGAGCTTGGTTTTAATGGTTTATAACGTTAACCGATATTTAATCTTAGGGTTTCAGTCGACACTGGTACAACATGACCCACACGAAGTGATTATGACTCGACCCGAACCTTTATTAATCTTTTCCAAATCGATTTACCCATTTTGGAACCCTAAAATCTACAAAAATCAAAAAATAAATCAAAGAGAGAAACCTAGAAAAGATGAGTAATGAATCTGAAAATTCGACTGGAACCACTGGTCGGGTCATATTAGCTTTATCTAGGTTAGCCACTAATTTAGTTTTAAACCGCAATTTGTTGATATTAGTTCAGCCTTCAAACTTTAGGGGGAATCGGGTTTCGATCTTTCGTTTTAGGGAGAAATCGGTTCATACAGATAAATTGTGTGCAATTAAGAGGAGGTCCAAATTTCTTGTGGATATGTTACTATACGATAGTTATGGTGTGGAAATAGATCGTCAACCCAAACATAAACGTTGAAAGTTTTAATGTCTCTTTATGTAGTATTAAGTACAAATTAGGTGTCATTTCGACTTCAAAATTTTTGACCATGTCTAAATATGGTTTACTTTAAGATAGGCCTGGGCATCCGGGTCCTCGGGTCGGATTCGGGTCGGTTCCGGGTCTTTCGGGTCTTGAAAATTTAGACCCATATTTTTCGGGTCGGTTCCGGGTCGGGTCTTGCCTGGTCCGGGTCGGTTCAGGTCTATAATTTCAATACCTGTAAAATACCCGTAATTTTTGGATCCATATCGGGTTCGGATCGGCTCGAGGTATTTAGAATTTATAAATACATAACATGCCCAAAGTCACTCACATTCAAACAATATTTTTCATACATATCTAAAATTTTATAAAATAACTTAAATTAAACTATTAATAATTAAAGAAAACATTTTTAAACTCTAAGTTTTACATTTTAAAACTTTATATTACTTCAAAATATTACAAATAATAATAAATATTGTTAACAAAAGATATTTCAACTAAATTATAAAATAGTATAGATATATAAAACATAAAACAAAAATAATAGTTTTGGATATACATGTTTATAAGTTGGGTACAAATCGGTTCTTATCGGGTCGGGTCTATTCGGGTCGGTTCTTTTTGGGTCCGGGTCTATTCGGATCGGTTCTTTTCGCGTCCGGGTCTATTCGGGTAAAAGAAATTTAGACCCAATAGATACTTCTAAATTTTTGGGTCGGGTTCGGGTCGGGTATTTCGGGTCGGTTCTGGTTCGGGTCTTCGGATCCGAGTAAAATGACCAGGCCTACTTTAAGACTTACTAGATTTTGATCCGCGCTTAAAAGCGCGGAAATTTTTTATGATTAAAAATTTAGATAATTTGGGTTTTGTCTTAATTTAAAGAATGTTTTGGTATAAAATCAGTTCACCAAAATTTGTGGTGATGATTGTTTTTCATTAATTTTTAGTTTTAGTTTTTACTTTTTAGATTTTGTTTCAAAATTTTGGTTTTTGGTTTTTAGTTTTTAAGTTTCTATTTTTGATTTTCAGCTTTTGGTTTGGGTTTTTAATTTTTAGACCTGCTAAATTAGTTTGAATTGATATTACCAACAAACAAATCTTAATTAATCGAACATGTAATTTAAAACTGAAAAGATAACAAAATAATTTTCTAAAAATTTTGAAATAGTTTATTTTGTAATAAAAAAAGCAAAAAATATAACCTGCATTTTCAGCTTTTGGTTTTGGATTTTAGTTTTTAGATTTGGTTTTTGGTTTTGCTTTACATTTTTTTTAAATCTGTAAATTATTTAAGAAAAATAAAACAATAAATTATTTAAAAGTTACCATTAAAATTTATCAAGATAGAGTGATTGTTATTTAAAATGAAAATATTAACATGTTTTAAAGTACATGATTTAAATAAGTGATTAATAATAGATAATTTTGTTTTATTGAAAATATTAAATATTTTTGGACCTGAAAATAGTAATTGATTTTTGATCCATTAAGGTGGAAAGTTTATTTAATGTTTTCGGAGTTTTTCTTTAATACTAAGCCCAAAAACCAAACAATTAAATGTCATAAAAACAAAAGTAACCCCAAAACTCTATTCCATAAATAACCGCCGGTTTAATTTAAGTAATACGGTTCAATCAATTATATAACTTGTATTATTTGTAACACTTTAGAAATGGTCCAAATTTAAATGATAGCTTATATCAGTAGATAAAAAGAATGACTCAATTTTAATAGAATAGATTCTAGGGTGAACCTCTAGGTTCATCAACCAATAGGATGTTGTTATTTCATATTTGATATCTTTTAAAAAAAAAAAAATCTTGTTAAGTTATATTATGTTTTTTTTTTAAATAATAATATTTACAAAAAACGAAAAAAAATTATATAAAAAAATATTTGAACATTATATTATGTTTTCAAAATAAAAAGATAAAATAAAATAAAAAAATTAATAATTGCAAAACCAAATTTTTCTAAAAAAAATATTTTAATATATCTTTAAAAATAAAAACAAAATATTGTTACATTATATTATATTTTTAAACTAAAAAGATAATATAATAAAAAACAGTATAATTGGTTAGTATTAATTTTTTTGATTTAATGTTTAAATTATTTCAAAGGGTTTAGTGTTTTAATGTAAAAAATATTTTTTTTAAGAATTGTTTTCGTTTTTTTGTAAATATTATTATTATTTATTTATTTTTGTATTTTTATTTTAAAAACATAATATAACTTAACAAGATTTTATTTCTTTTTCAAAAAGATATCAAATATGAAATAACACAATTCTATTGGTTGGTGAACCTAGAGATTTATCCTAGGAGATAACTTAACAAGATTTTATGTCTTTTTTAAAAAAGATTTTATTTCCTTTTTTCTTCTAAAATTTTGTTGCATTAAAAGACTATTTGGTGCATGAGACTTGTTAACAAGATTATCTTTCAAGGACTGGTTGTTGCAAACACGTACAAAGACTTGTTGTTTCATGAGACTTACATGGCTTTATAAAAGAAGAGCAGTGTCCGAGAGAGAGAGAGAGCAAGAAAAATATTTGAAATGTCGAAGATAACTTTAGGGAACGAAGCAATTGTTGGGTCTTTGACTCCATCAAACAAGAAATCGTACAAACTGACCAACAGGATTCAAGAAGGCAAGAAACCTTNACGTACAAAGACTTGTTGTTTCATGAGACTTACATGGCTTTATAAAAGAAGAGCAGTGTCCGAGAGAGAGAGAGAGCAAGAAAAATATTTGAAATGTCGAAGATAACTTTAGGGAACGAAGCAATTGTTGGGTCTTTGACTCCATCAAACAAGAAATCGTACAAACTGACCAACAGGATTCAAGAAGGCAAGAAACCTTTGTATTCTGTTGTTTTTAACTCCATCGATAGTCGATTCTTCACTTGTTTCGCCTCCGCTGGTGGAAATGTGGTAAAGTTTACTTCTTCAATTGTCTGAAAAATTGAAACTTTGCTTGACTATGGAACCGTCTTAGCTATATGTTATTTGCTATTGGAGAGTCTGTGAAAGTCTATGGCTTTTTCTATATGAAACTTTACTGAGCTGAGTCATGAATCTCATTACTGCCATTGTGTTTATCTTTTTGTTTTTTTTATTAATGTAGATTAACCTGTATAACTGTCTTGAAGATGGTGGAATATCTTTATTGCACTCCTACCCTGACGAAGATGTAAGGAAGTATACATATTAAATAGTTTCCAAAAAATAAAAATAAAAGGCAGCAAAGTTTCATTGAGGCTATATATTTTGGGTATATTTGTCTGATGTGCTTTGGTGGTCAGAAGGAGGAGTCATTTTACACTGTAAGCTGGGCGTATAACGTTAAAGGGAACCCATATGTTGTCGCTGGAGGAGAGAAAGGCATAATCCGAGTCATTAACGTCACTGTTAAAGTGGTTCATAAGGTATTATTGCAATTTTTATTAGCTTTAGACTGACATGAAGAGTTAAAGGATGTTCAATGAATCAAGTTATTCGGTTTCTTTCTTTTGTAATCTGTGCTCTCATGTACGCAGACCCTTGTGGGCCATGGGAATTCAGTGAATGAAATCAGGACACATCCTACGAAACCTCAACTTGTGCTTTCTGCTAGCAAAGTAATGTCTCTTGCCTTCTTTTTTCTTGTTTCTTCTCTCTATAATGTTCATTTATTTGGTTTGAGGTTTAAAAGCTCATACGTTTTGATTCGGATCAGGATGAATCTGTTCGATTGTGGAATGTTGAAACTGGGATTTGTGTACTGATATTTGCTGGAACTGGAGGTCATAGAAACGAAGTTATAAGTGTGGTACGCCAATATGGTTTTTAAACACAGTGCATGTGAAAGAAAATAATTAATCTAATTCAGTTTTGTGTCACTTGATATATTATTGAGAGCTTCCAAGTATAACCATCTTATCTTGTAAATTTGTAGGACTTTCATCCCCATGATCAGCACCGTTTTATTAGTGGTGGTATGGACACCACCGTTAAGATATGGTCAATGAAAGGTACGAGTTATAACCGAACACACTTGAAAAGGAACTTCCTTTCTCTTTAAGTTTGTATGATTTCTAATATTCTTTGGCTGCTTTCAGATTTTTGGAAATATGTGGACAAGTCATTCACATGGAAAGATGATCCATCAAAGTTCCGAACAATATTTGTAGAGTTCCCTGTAAGTATTTTTTGTTTCTTCGTCTTGTAACAACGAGTGACATACACATCTTGATGGAACATTACTTCTATGTGTAGGTGTATACAACTTCGGTTCATACAAGTTTTGTTGATTGTAACCGTTGGTTTGGTGATTTTATTCTTTCAAAGGTTAGTCCAGGAGTCAATAATTTATTTGATTTGGTGGAATAAGCTAAAAACCGAAAGGTTACTCTTGTGTTGTATATTATATAGAGTGTGGAGAATGAGATTCTGTTGTGGGAACCAGAAATTAAAGAGAATTCTCGTGAAGAGGTTAGGATCTCATTTCCACCCCATACACAACAGAGTCCTTCAGTTAATTAAATAGGATGCATATTAAAGTTATTTGTGTTGCTATTTTTGCAGGGTACTTCAGATGTTCTACTTAGATACCCTATTCCCAATTGTACTCACTGGTTCATCAAGTTTTCTTGCGACCTCTCTCTCAATTATCTTTCAATAGGTGATGATGAGAAAGCTATAATCTATACATTTAATCTATACTTGAATTTTTTTCTTGTGAATTTTGTGAAACATTCTTGATTGGTTGGTTGGTTGGTTGGTCATCAGGGAATCAGAAAGGCAAGATTTATGTCTGGGATCTACAGAGTTGCCCTCCTGTTTTGGTTACAGTGTAAGTTACTTTCGGATCCACACACAATTTTAAATCTTTAAATACAAAATGAATAAGCTTCACTATGGTGTCTTTGTTGTATACTTGACATGATTCTATGTTGCTATATAGGCTATCACACGATCAATCAAAGTCTGTGATCAGGCAAACCGCTATGTCCACTGATGGAAAGTATATTCACGATCTCTCTCACCAATGCATTGAAAAACTTCATTATTTTATGACTCAGTAATTACTCCAAACAAAAATGATAAGCATATGATTACTGACACACTCTGTTTTTGTCCATGGAATTGTAGCACAATTCTTGCTNTATCACACGATCAATCAAAGTCTGTGATCAGGCAAACCGCTATGTCCACTGATGGAAAGTATATTCACGATCTCTCTCACCAATGCATTGAAAAACTTCATTATTTTATGACTCAGTAATTACTCCAAACAAAAATGATAAGCATATGATTACTGACACACTCTGTTTTTGTCCATGGAATTGTAGCACAATTCTTGCTGCCTCCGAGGACGGGACTATATGGCGTTGGGACGTGATTGCCGAGGAGAAAGCTGATATGGTGGTAGAGGTCCAGGGACCACCTATCTTGCCTCAGAACAGCAGGAGAAAGAGAAAGGCCCAACAACAGTTAATAGAGTGAAGAGGTTCTAAAAGAAGATGTGATGACATAAATTAATATGGAATATAGATAACGTGATGACATAAATTAATATGGAATAAGAATAACGTGATGTGTTGGGTGAGCTGGTACTGTGAGTATTTAATCTATAAGAAAGAGTCTAGGGGAGAGATATCAATGATTTGATCAAGTGGTTGTAATGAGAGAAGAGTCCCTCTTGTCGAAGGCTCTCTTTTGTAATCCTTGTTTTGAATCAGTATAAACATTATCTTAAGATATACACTGTTACAAAATCGGACTATCTATCTAGAAACATAATGCGATTCCCTGACACCTGAAGATGATTATTTATGGTCTCATTAACTTCACTTCGGTGTTCAAACATTTGTAGTACATTGTGTCTTTAAAACATTTATTGAGATCGTTGTCTTATAGCTTTCTGTTCAATACACAATACTGTATCCAGGAGCCTTTATTGCAAGAACCAGTCCATTTCATAAGCTTCCTAGTCTTCAAGGCATTTTCCCAATCTCCAACAACTTTGTGATGGACAGAACAATCTTCATCTGCGAGAATTTCAATATTTATCTAAATGGTACACTACTAAAGCTAATGGTTCTGGGATTTTGGTGTGATTTTTGCATAGCTGATGAGCACAATGGTTGCACTGAAGAAGAGCTGATGCCACATAGAGAAACCACCGAAGTGGCTTCATCAGATTGTGACNAATCTCCAACAACTTTGTGATGGACAGAACAATCTTCATCTGCGAGAATTTCAATATTTATCTAAATGGTACACTACTAAAGCTAATGGTTCTGGGATTTTGGTGTGATTTTTGCATAGCTGATGAGCACAATGGTTGCACTGAAGAAGAGCTGATGCCACATAGAGAAACCACCGAAGTGGCTTCATCAGATTGTGACCTGGGCATCAAAACAAGTTTCAGAAGATTCTCAGACAACGCCAATGAAAACGATGTCTAGGCACAAAAGTTCATAAGCTATGCAAAAATCCCAGTGAATAAAGCATTTTAATACAATTAAATAGCCTTTGATACTTTTAGAGCTTAATCAGAAACAGAGATCTGCCTAATTAACAATCATTTTCTCTCATTTTATTTATAATTAATCAAATACAAGTACGACAATAATCAATCAATAACACTTTGTCAAAAAAAAAAAAAATTTTGGATTTCCTCTCTTCCTGAACTTTATCCCACAAGCATTGCATAAAGTCTGAAACACGTTTACCAAATAAACTAAACTCAAAACATCAAGCAGCGTAATCAATATTCAAACCTGATTAATTAACTGAATTTTTTTTGAGATTAGTTAATGACACTAGTTGCATATTCCCCGCGCAAGCGCGGGGCCGGAATCATTATGTTTGCGTGTATATTTTTTGATTGTTGGTTTAGTGGATTCTTCTAGTGGCACCAATTAATAATGAAATAGAAAATTTCATGTTTTTATATCGTATGTCAAAACTTGATATAATTCTATATTTATAGTATTTATATTTTTATTAAACGATTTATCAATATGAAAATAACCTTAATTAAGTTAATATTCGTTGTTTAAGTTTCATTAGATAGGTTTTTATATATGTATTTTTGTAAGTTTGAGTTTTGTTCATAAATGATGTGGCATTTTTATCTACGGAGTCATCGACTGAGGGAATTCATTCGCCGAAGTCTGGAGTCGGTGGTGAGAAATGTTTTCAATGAAATTATAGTAGTTATTAAAATGTAAGAGAAATTACATATTCATTTAATAAATAACTTACTTAAATTTTGTTGTTTATTTTATTTTATTTCACATACAATTTTTTTTGAAAAATATTAGGAATATGTTAAATGTTATTTATATGCGAAGTAAGGTTTATAGGAATAGTTAGGCTATAATATAGTTTTTAGTGTGTAAAAGTAGGTGTGTTTTTTTTTGCTGTAAATCGTTTTTATATCGTACATCAAAACTTGATATAATTCTTTATTTATAGTATTTATATTTGTATTAAACGATTTATCAATTTGAAAATAACCTTAATTAAGTTATTATTCGTTGTTTAAGTTTCATTAGATAGACTTTTATATATGTTTTTTTGTAAGTTTGAGTTTTGTTCATAAATGATGTGGCATTTTTATCTACGGCGTCATCGACTGTGGGAATCCATTCGCCGGAGTCTGAAATCGGTGGTGAGGAATGTTTTCAAGGAAATTATAGTAGTTATTAAAATGTAAGAGAAATTATATATTCATTTAATAAATAAAGAAAATAATTAATTTTTGTTGTTTTATTTTATTTTATCTCACATACAAATTTTTTGAAAATATATATTAGGAAATATGTGCAATGATTTAACTTTTTGAACTCCTAATCTATATTATTCAACCCTCATTTTTTTTGTTTTTTTTTGATCTTTTCGTTTTTGGATTTATTTTTTATTATTTTTGGGTTGAGTTATATTATAATATGATAGTTTTAAGGTTCTTTAAGCCATCCGCGTAGGCAACCACATGAGACTTGTTTTTTTGGTTTTTTTTATTGTTCGTTTTGGATTCATTTTTAACTATTTTGGGTTTGAACTTGTTAAGGTTTAGGGTTTATACAACTATTTTGATCTTTAAAACAATAAGCCAAAAAAAAAAACATAAGAACCTTATAAACAAAAAGCCCATATGATAATAACCTAAATCAAAAAATCAAAAATAAATGATAGCTACGTGGTTTGAACCCATGCCCTTGCAAACCAAACATGAGGCCTTAGACCACTTGGCTAAACTGATATTCTTTGTTTGTAGCCATTTTAAACAAATTATCTATTTTAATATAAAAATGTGGGACCCACAATCTGCCTATGTGGACACCTTAAGGAGCCTTTAAAGTGTATCATTATAATATAGATTACCGTTGGACCAAGAGGACCCCTTGGCCACATTAACTGCAAAAATCCCAGTGAATTAAGCATTTTAATACAATTAAATAGCCTTTGATACTTTTAGAGCTTAATCAGAAACAGAGATCTGCCTAATTAACAATCATTTTCTCTCTTTTTATTTATAATTAATCAAATACAAGTACAACAATCATCAATCAATAACTCTTTGTCAAAAAAAAAAAAAATTAATTTTGGATTTCCTCTCTTCGTGAACTTTATCCCACAAGCATTGCATAAAGTCTGAAACACGTTTACCAAATAAACTAAACTCAAAACATCAAGCAGCGTAATCAATATTCAAACCTGATTAATTAACTGAATTTTTTTTGAGATTAGTTAATGACATTACCGTTGGACCAAGAGGACCCCTTGGCCACATTAACTGCAAAAATCCCAGTGAATTACGCATTTTAATACAATTGAATAGCCTTTGATACTTTTAGATAGGGATGGTGAAAAAACCATGATCCGAAGAACCGAACCAAACCAGATCCAAAAAAATATTATCGAACCAGAACCGGAATTGATTCAATATCCGAATGGGTTCAAATTTTGGTATTTAAAGAACCGAAACCGAACCCGATCCATACCGAAATATTTCGGGTACCCAAATATATCCAAAAATATTTATATATTTATATATATTAATTATTTTAGATTTAATGTATATAAAAAACATTCAGTATATATAAAATACTTTGAAGTTGTTCAAATACTTGTAAATATATTTAAATGGTCAAACATACATGTCTAAAACTGTTAAAATACACTCAAAACATTATAAATTATTGATTCACAATCCAAATATTCAAATCAAACTAATTTATATGTTAATTTTAGGTATTTTGACTTATGTTATTCAATTATTTGTAATATATTATTTTATTTTTAGATTTTTAGATATTTAAAGTATATAATCAATTTTAAAATTTTAAAATAATTTAAATGGATTATCCGAACCCGAACCGAACCCGAACCAAAATTTAGAAATATCTAAATGGGGCTAAAATTTGTGAATCCAAACATCCGAAACCCGAATAGATCCGAACCGAACCCGAATGGATACCCGAACGCCCACCTCTACTTTTAGAGCTTAATCAGAAACGGAGGTGCCTAATTAACAATCATTTTCTCTCTTTTTATTTATAACTAATCAAATACAAGTACAACAATCAACCAGTCAATAATTCTTTGTTAAAAAAAACCAATAACTAATTTTGGATTTCCTCTCTTCCTGAACTTTCCCACAAGCATAACATAAAGTCGGAAACATATTTACCAAATAAACTAAACTTAGTTAACATCCATTTATAATCGGGAATTCGGCCAAAACAAGCTCCAACGTTACATGAATTGCGAAAACAAACACAAAAATATTGGCTTGTCAAAAAACACTGCATTTATTTGACTTTTAAACTTTAATCAGTAAGTTATCACTTATTCGCGAATTAAACATGCCGTTAGTAAACTTGACATAATGATTGAACGACGTTTGCTAAGGTCATTAAATAAAATGACGTCGTTTTGAGATGGGATGAAACGACGTCGTTTTACCTATTTTTATTATCAAAAACATGTTGATCGCTTGAGTCAAACTTGAGAACTCATAGCCAAATTACAAGGATTCTTGCCCATGTGCTAGTGGCACTTTTAAGGAAATCTTTAACATGGTTTCTATTATTGAGTATCAAAAAAATCTTGAAAAATCTAAATTCTTTTATAAAAATTACAAAAAATCTTAATAATTCAAGAAAATTCTGAAAAGGTAAAATTCAAATTGAAATTAGAAATACTTTTTTTAAAAAAAATTAAAAATTTCACAAAATCTAAAATAATTCAAAGAAATGCAAGGAATTAAATTTAATGATTTAAAATTTTGAAACCTATTTTTATATAAATTAATGTATGTATTTTATCTCAAATATATTAATTTATAAAATAACAAAACAAAATTCCCAAAAATTTATAAAATAAAAAATCTAAAAAAACAAATGCAAAAAATTAAAATTAATGATTAAAATAATTTGAAAACTCTTATATAAATGAATGCATGTAAGATAATATACAAAATTATATTTATCACACTATATTTTTGTATGATTAATGTATTTATGATAAAATACAAAAATGATCTTAGATACATTATTTTTCATAAAAAACTTATTTTTAAATTATTTCAATCCTTAGTTTTTTTTGTCATCTTTTTAATCATTAGTTTTCTTCACATTTTTGGATTTTTAAGATTTTATGATTTTTTTATTTATTTTAGCGAAATTTTTTTTTCTAATTTAATTTTTTATATTAGTATTTTCATAATTTTTGTTGATTTTTTTAAATTTTGTAAAATTTTAAAGTT